AAGGCTGAGGGGGGATCTAGTGGCCATTTACAAACTAGTCAGGGGGTACCAGCAGGCATTGGGGGAGTCCCTGTTCCCCCAAGCCCTACCAAGTGTGACTAGAAATAATGGTCACAAGCTGGCAGAGGGTGGATTCAGGCTAGATATCAGGAGGCGCTACTTCACTGTCAGGACAGCTAGGATCTGGAACCAACTTCCAAGAGAAGTGGTGCTGGCTCCTACCCTGGAGGTCTTTAAAAGGAGGCTGGAGGAACCCCTTGCCGGGGTCGTTTGACCCCAGTACTCTTTCCTGCCATGGCAGGGGGGCGAATTTGATGATCTGCTCAGGTCCCTTCCAACCCTACCAACTATGAAACTGTGATGGGGGCAATCAACTGTACAATAGCAAAGGCATCTGGGAATAATGGTACATCAAGCCATCAGGACTCCAAGTACCCCAGACACTCTGGAGTTTTGGCATTGAATTTATGGTCCAGATGCCTTGTTTCAAGTAGGCCCAAACCTTCAGACCAACCACGATTTTTTGCTTTCAATAATAAGCAAATTTTACTGATACACAGTGATAGCAGATAAGAATAATGCAGGCAGGGCAAACAAAATACTTCCCCCCCCCCCCCCCCCCCGATTCTATACCTACCAGTTCTAGGGCTGTCACAGAAGGATGGTATATCTTGCCAATACATGAGCTTTACACTGAGGTTCTTTTTTTAATATAAGATGTCAGGAGCCTGGAGGTTGAGGGCCAAGGCCCACACACCCCTCTAGTGGGGTCGATGAGATGGGCTGGTAGTGTGCTCTCTGTCTATGGTGGCCTCAGGTTTCCCCCTAGGGGACCCTTTGCTACACTGAAATCCCTCCTTTTGTATTTTTTTTCTGATGACTCTTCATTCCCCAAAATCATTGATTGGGTTTGCTGTGGTCATCATACTGTCCACATTCTGTTCTGTCAGCATATTCCCTTGTTCCAACAAAACTATCATATCTTAATTTGATCGTTTACCGGTGTCTTAATTTAGGCATGCCCCAGCCTCCTAATTTGGTGCATCCACCAAAACTGAAAATCCCAAGGGCTCTGCAGTTGATCATTGTGACTTAATGCCACCTTACTTCAAGTTTTGTGTACACAGTTCCAATTTCCTAGACTGTTTATGGCTGCTTATCCACTGGCCTCAGACATAGTATCTGCCTTGAAAGAAACTTTATTACTAACCGGCTTCTAAAAACCAATTAACTCTTGCCATTCCCCTGGTCCATTGTTCTAATGCATGTCAACTTTATCTACAAACCAGTTCCCAACAGTGATCTCTAAATATAATTTTCTAGCCATCATGTAGGATTCTGGTGACTTATGAGCATTAAAAGAATGCTAATTGGGGTATGGCTTGCGGGCTTTTTAGAGTCTACCTAGACTATATTATTTGTCTTTTGATCTCATGCTTTGGGGGCTCTCTGTGCCAGTCACCTGGACTGGCAGAGTCGACAGGAAAGTCAGTCTCTAGAGCCCTGGCAAGGACTTTCATGGTGGGCTGAGGTAGCCAGATGAGAGGGTAAGAATTTATATTTGTTTTATTTTCTGGCTCCAAACCTTTAGTCTGTTTTGTTTGCATAACTCTTTCATCCTATGTAATAAATCCTTTTGCTGTTTGACTTGTTACTGATTGCCAGCAGAAAGAATAATTTCTGGCCAAGTGATACTCCAGGTTGACTCGCTTAATGGAGAGGGGGCACCTAAAAGAACAATCAAGGGCCAGCAAAGATCCATCACTGCAGCTGCAGAGTCCTGTGTAAGGGCAAAGGAAATGACGTGATAGGATAAGAAGTTATTTTAGGGCAACTTCAGTTTGTTCATTGTGGTGAGTGGCAGCACAGTGGGAAGAAACTCGGGGCTCCAGGGTTCCCCCATGCACAGGTTTCTGACAATATGTAAAAGTAATATTTCCTAAGAAATTAGTTTTTGGTAGTTAATTGAGTAGTGGAACAGCATACATTTGTCCAAAAAATGGTTCAACTGCAATCTGGTCTCAACAGAGAAAATGAAACAAGATGTAGTATGGGTACTTGTAGAAAGAACAATGCAATACTCACTAAACTTAAACAAATGAACATAGAGGGCTGTGGCTAAAAATAATAAAAACAAAAGAGGCAGTAAAAACAGAAGAGCACCAACTAAATTGCTTAGGACTATGGCTGGCTAATACAGCAAAAGAGAATCATGTATACATGGTAATAAATACATCTAAGGTCTGATTCTCATCACCTTGTACCTTGTGTACTCATTAAAAACCTGTGCAGTGAAGATGTAACCAACACACTGCCAAATCAGATGTATCTGTTCTCTGACACTTGCCATGGCATTTAATACCTGCTTTGCATAGGGATGAATGACTGCACGAAAAGCGAGACAGTGGTCCTCAGTAATTGGTCTTCACATTTCAGAACAAATGGAAAGTGATAGATTGGTTTAAAACTCCTTGACAAAACGTCTGGTTTTGAAGCACTAAAAAAAGGAAAAGATCTGTCAACAATGGAGAGAAGATCAAATAAAAAATCTGTTTCTGTAAATGAGGAAAATAATTGACAAGATAAGACAAAGAGCTTTTAAATGACAAAAACAAGAATGGGGGGTGCGGAGGGAGGAGGAAAGAAAAATGCTCAAAGCAAAGACATCCAACTCTGCTTGATGTGATTTTACCTCACCTGAGGTAAAAAGTGAGCCTTAACAAAGCAAGGCTCACTCTGGCCAACAGCAGTGGCTTTCTTCCAATAACGTGTTGAAAAAAGCAAAAAGAAAAATAATTCTTTATGCAAACAGGAACAAATCTTCCATCTGATGTGTACATACAAAGAGAAAGCTCAGCTCTTATGTGACTGAAGACAGTGAAGAAGGGCCATCTGGTAATGTAAAATGTTACTTAGCTCTTGCAATGTGCTTTTCCTCTCTAGAGCACTTTATAAATATTAACTAGTTAGCCTATACAATCTCCACATTGCTAGATAAGGATCAAGTAGCTCTTTCAAAGTATTAGTACCTTTATTTTACTTACAGGGAAGATCGACTCAAAAGCTATTGACCATTTAAAATCTTAAATTAATTTATTGTACTTGCTGCTGTTAATGCCTAAATTTGCCATAGCTACCAGGTAGTAGAATGAAAGTATTAAGGTGTTTTCTTTATTTGTGTTGTATATTCAACACAAATTGTATATGATTGATTTCATTTTATAATCTGCTAAGCCCCATTTCTCTACATGCATACACACAACCATATCCGTGTGAGCAGTCCCATTAATTTCATAGGATTTCTTAAGTAAAGTTATGGGTATGTAACTGTCCTCGGGATGAAGGCTGTAGGCCCTAATTTGTTAATGGACAGGAACTGGGAACACCTTCCAATTACAAGATGGATGGCCAAAATGTTTTTCTTGTCTATGCACATCTGTTTCATGTAAGCTGAATAGAACATCTCTGTGAATCTGCAGAATTTTGTTTTTTTCTGGTCTGTTATTGCTCTATAGAAAGGTTGGCTACACCTCCAGTTGTGGGGAAGAATATTTCTAAACCTGATTTAGTGTTTTTAGGCACAGTTGCAAGACACGGTCCTAACGAATTTCCAGTCTAAGGGCTTGTTCCTTCAATCTGACTCTTATACGCAGGCCTTTATACCCACACAGAGCCCTAGTTACACCAGTGAAAGCCTATTCAGACAAAAGGTTTGGCATTTGTGGATCACATTGTACAAAAAGACAGTGTACTGGGTATTGTTGGAAATGAGGCCTATTATACTGTCTTCATCCATTACTGTTGGAAGATGGCGGAGTGGTAGGAAAGGAGAGCAGAAGCAAAGGCAGAAATAAGGTTATGCAGGTATTTGGAAACACAAATGAACTGGTAATATAAAAAAAAATTATGTAGTACAGTAAAAGCTTTATCATCTGGCATGAGTGGCATAAGGGGGTGCTGATTATCTAAAAATTCCGGTTATCTGAGAGTTGTAAGGAAGACAGTGCCATATTTGTAGTACAAATACTGGATGCGCATACGCATGCCAGATAGACTCGGCAAAGATTCTGGTTGGTAAAGTGAGGATTTGTATTGGGGGATATTGGAAATTTCAGTTAATAGAATATTCCAGTTAGTAAAATGCCAGTTAACACAGCTTTTACTGTAATTCTTTATTGTGATCAGTTCTTGGGCAAAGTGACTTTTCGTTCAGAAAACCCTGTTTCAGTCATCTTAGCAGTACAACCTATATGATGGAGTGATTAGAGCCAAAGACTAGACTCCTTCTTTAGCAAGTCATGAATATTGTATATAGCCTGTGGAAATCATTTAAGCCTCCTGCTGGTGGAGATCCAGAGAAGTGTAGATTAAAAAGAAAGACCTCAGTGTAATTCAAGCTTTGCACCTTAGTGGAGCTTCTTTGGGCAAATGAATTCCAGCAATATATAGTAATTCTGCATCTTGTGGAATGTATTGCTGTTTAAAAAACACTGCACCTTCCAGTTTCTCCTTGGCATTCTTAGTTCACAGTGTTTGCCACAAAGTTTTCTAGCTCAGGTAAGAAAGGCATTCCCAGTCACGGGATTGCAGGAAAGTGTTTCGGTCCTGAGACAGGAGTGGACTTCCTTTCAAGGATGTGTTACCCCATGCTGGAAAACGAAGGAGGTGCTTTTAGGGCAGATTTATACCTTTCAAAACTGCTGACATACGCACTTTTTCTGCCTGCTGCAGAGCCCCAAATTCACAATATTTCAGTTAAATTATTTTATGATTCAAAGTGTATTTATTGTGAATTTTTGCCTTTATTTGCTCTCTGAGAGGATTCATGGCTGCTTACTGTTCCATGCCAAGAGCATGCTGTATGTACATTTTGGTTTCTAAAGTCTAAAAATATTAAACTAATTAAAAATTTCCTCCTTACCATCCTTTTCTCACAACTCATTATCAAAACAGTTGAAAGACCTTTGCTCACACAGCCCTGCATTTCTGTATTATTTCAGGCTGTGATTCAGCTCAGACCCTGACATTTGAGAAAGCCATGGCTGCAGTGGACAGTATCTTTAAGTCCCTCTGGGATGTATCAAGAGCTCGAATGCATATGAAACAGTTTAATTCTGTACATATCCCAGGAAGCAACATCCACCAGGCAAGTAGATATTTTTCCCCTCATCTCTATTATGTTGTTCAGCACAGAGTCAGAAGCATACCTTTCCAAATAAGGTGCATTTTACTCATGTAGGTATACAAAACTTATTTTTCTGCCCTATGGAATATTTTTACAAGAGGTTTCAGAAATGATTTAATTACCAGGAGTTTCCCGAAATCTGCAGTCCTGCCTCAGGCAAATCCCCATTCAGGTTGATGGGAATTTTTATGAGTAAAGACCTCAGGATTCAGACAGCAGTGTTGCAATATTGTATATGTTCCATGTACATGGTTGAGCTAACTCAAATCTACCGGGCTGGGATCCATCATTACATATTGAAACAACATGTCTTTATGCATACCAAGGGCTTGGTTTCAATCTACCTTCTGTCTCATTTTCACAATGGCAAGAGGCCATTCTCCCTCTGCAGAACTGGCTGCTAATACAGTTTCTGTTTACTGAAACGAATGTAATTTTCTTTCCTGGTTTGGGTCATCAGGACCACAGCTATTTATTTTCCAAAGTGCATATCTGTTTTAGTTAGATATGGGCAGTTGCTATAGGGGAAGATCATGTTGTAATCAGTTTTTAAAAGACTATTTAAGTTTGACCCTGATCTTTGTCCAGAAAGAATTCTCCCAAACTTCAGACTTTGCTGCAGCCCAGCAAAAGGATGCAGTTTCTATAATACAATTAAGTAGAAATGGAAACTCAAGCATTACAAAATATTATTGGAAAGCTAATGAAGTGTCCTCTGACATTTATGACCAATATGATTTCTAAAAATGCATAAAATCAGAAATATTTTTATTAGCTGTCCTGTGCAAGTCATCGGGACTGGAAAGGAAAGTCCTAAAATGTTTCTGGCAAGATAGGGTGCACTTTTGGGTATAGCTTGCTTTTAACTGGGGCCAAGTTTTGGAATGTCTTGTGTGGCAGTTAGAGGTTTATTAGCCCTTTGCAGCTGGAAATGTTGAAGGTAGCCAGCATCCTGCAGGAGGGAGATGGGAAGAGATCATGTGGAATGGCTGGGGGACAAACGATCCAGCTCTGTCTTCTCCTGGAAACCCTCTACAGGGTTTCCCTTCTCCTGGAAACCCTCTACCCTCTACGATCCTCTGTCCAGATCGTTTGTCAGACAGATCTTAATGCAAAACCACAACTGCTGCTACAAGAGTACGAGGGGCAGGGACCCAGGTCCCTCTCCTTTTAAAATGGGAAAATGGTTCCATTTTGGGAGGGGAATGTAGCTTGAGGAACTGTTCATAGGAGCTGATTCAGAACCCAGTGATTCTCAACCAGGGTGCCACAGTACCTTGGGGTGCCGCCAAAAACTTTGAAGGGTGTACAGGGTCTGAGGAGATAAAAAAGGTTTGAGGAGATGATCAGATAAGTGAAGGCTCAGGCTTGTCATTGCCTTCTTGATCATCTACCCCCACTACCCAGCCCCTCTGCAAGGAGGGAAGTACTGGAATATATCAGTTCATTTTTTAAATTGGGTGCCACTCAATTCACAACAATTATGGAAGGGTGCCTTGAGTCCAGAAAGGTTGTGGACCGCTGCTGTAACCAGTGAGTGCTCTTGAGGGCTACGCAGCTCATTGAAGGCTCCTCCCCTTGTCTGTCAGTGAGGAGCCCACCCACTGTAGGGAGCTGGGGTGAGACAAAAAAATGGTTCCCTCACATGACAAGTGGCAAGAGCTGGAGGGCTACTTAAGTATGTTGCATCTCTCAGGTTCCCCGGTCTGCACACAGACGAGGGGTATTTCCACACAGCTACCTCTGCTTCCAACCCAGGTACCACGTCTGGGTGACCCAGAGAGGTGCACAGAGGGGGGCCATTCTCCCATAGATGACCATCTCCACCAGACAGATGCATTGCCTCCTACTCCCTTGCTCCAGACCTGGAGCTGTGTACAGGGAGGGAGATTGGGAGGTGTGCAGGGGGTGAGAGGAAGAGGCAGACTGTCTGTCTGTCATAGGATTGAAAGAGCAGCTCCCTGGCAGGAGAGCTCGCCTTTGAGGTAGCCTGTTGCTCTCCAGACAGAAGACTAGAATACTTGTGTGTCTCCATCCCCCACCCCCGGACACACACTTTTCCAAGTTTTTGCAGGACTGCAAATTTCAGCATTTAAAATTTTCCGTGAAATTTGCAGCATGGAATTGAGCATCTGTCCATATACAAAGTCACCAGTGTCCGGGCTCACCAAACTGTGACTCTGCTCTGATGTTTGAACCATATTTCTTTAAAATTTTGTTAGCATGGGTATGTTTCTGAGCAGTAATATACTGATCTCAACAGTTTCTAGGAAACTTTTACAAAGACTTTTACAATTATGAATGTCCATTATAAAACAAATTCATGTTTATGCTAAAGTAAGCCAATCAGTTAATCTCATAGTCACATGCCACAAAATTCCACAATCAGGCTTTATGTTTGGCTGCTATTGTAATTTTTTAAAAAAACAACGTTTTAAAATATCCAGGTTGGTAATTAGGGTAGGCGTTTAGAGATTTTGTTAATGCAATTTTAATATAGCAATGTACATTAAGATTTGAAAAGTATTGTAAAATTGTTGGCAAACTGTCAAGTGACTTCATGTTTCTCAGTTTTTTGGGAGGCCAACATGAGACATGCTGAAGGGGCCTGATTTTCAGAGCCTGGGTAGTCAGTCACCCGAAACAAGAAATCTCTTTTTAAAACCTATGGCCTATGAATGTCGTCATGACTATAGTCAGATCCTATTATCCTTACATTTCATGCAGTAGGTTCTTTGCTTAACATTGCTTTTGATCTCTGCTCCAAATATTTCATTTTAAGAGTCTTTTTTCTGTTCTTCATCTGGGGCATTATGTGGATATTAAACAGATTTTATACCACAAAACTTCAACTTCGTGAATAGTGTTTCAGATATAAGTTTATTGCGTGTCTAGCTTTGACACAAGTTTGGGAGTGTTCTACAACACAAAGAAATTGCAGCTAATGTCTGTTGTATTTTGCTTTGTTGGTTTAATTAAAATGTATGCACATATGCTGTGGGGAGGGCTAGAGTTGTATAATTCTGCTTTCATGTAATTGTATGTATTCCATTGTATTGGACAGAAATTTTCTCTTTTTATTACCATGATTACTGTAGAAAATTTCATTTTCCGAGTTATATAGTTGAACAGTTAGATTTTTATTTCCTTTCTGTTTCTATATTTGTCATAAACAATACCTCTTTCATTCATCCTTTACACAGCATGACTGAAATCACCCATTAGCCTTGTAAGAAAATTAGAGATGTGACACCCCTGGAGTAGCACAGTAAGGGAATACAGTATATTAAATTTGAAATGAGCTAATTTTCTAAGATCATTGCACTCATTCATGAAACTACTACAGTTATTTATTTTAATGTTTTAAGCCTTTGCCAGAAGTATGAAAATCCTAAAGCAAACACCAAGTCAGTTAGGATTTCAGTAAAAAGGGTTTGTCCCTCAGGGTCCCTAATATCTTTAGTAACCTTAAAAGCCTTTTTTTTTTTTTTTTTTTTAAATGGCTGTATGGTTCAAGTGCTTTGTAGTGGAAATCTTTCAGTTCTTGATCACCCATTCAAATTCACCCAGGTTGATGGATGCTAAAAATTATCACCTGGTTGCTGTTTTGCATACTATGAAAAGAGTTTGCTGGCTCAAGTCTTTTACCAGTTCACACCAGTCCATAACACAAAAAAACCCCTCCTATTAACTATTTTGATGTGATTAAGGGGAGAATTGGACACAATACCACAGAATGGCTGAGGACACAATTGCAGAGCATTGTGTGGACAGTATCCAAGCCAACAGCTTATCAGAAGTCCAAATGTGAACCTACTGCCATAGGTGTAACTGAGCAGTTTTGCACCCTGGGTAGTAGCAATGCATGGGACAGTGGCCACAGCTAGGCCACAGCCTGTGGCAGTGCAGCAGCTGGGAGAGCAGTGGGCCTAAGTTGTGCCTTAGTGCCCTGATCACTCTCCCATGCCTAACTCCCTTTAGTTATGCTGTTGCCTACTCCTCTCCTTGTGGATCACTTCCCATCTTTGGCAAGAAGCAGACTTCGCCAAGTGAATCAGCTGTGCCACATTGTATTGTGACACAGCTGATTAATTTCATTGGGTGAAACAAACATCACCCTTTGTCCCACCCTTAATGGCACAGGACAAGGGGCGATGTGATCTCCCCACTTGCCCAGCCAGACCTGGAGAGCAGAAACACAGGAGGCTGCATGTGACAATGCATTTAAGGCCCCAGATTGCCTATCCATGACCCTGCTTCTCCTGTTGAGTTAGGCAGCAGGAGTGCCCACCTCCTAAAACAAAGTTTAGAGATTCATAATTTGTCTTCTTATAGCTCTGTCTGAGCTAAAACTAGGACTTGTTATCAGAGCCAACCCAAGCAGAGCATGGGGCCTGGGGCAAATCAGCCCATGTGGGGCCCCACCCTGATTCTACACACCCTGGATGCGAAGAAGGCGCTGATGGTCAGTTGCCCCATTTCGCACCCAGCCCCACCCACCCCCTGGGACAGCCCTGCTTGTTATCCACCCATAATATGATCTGCCCTTCTCTAGCTGTCATTACATCATGGACATCAGTGTGCTAAAATAAACAAGGCAGAACTTATTTCTAGCTTAATTATCAACAAAATCATGCTTCTCTCTGGAATGATGGCATCTGGATTTGAAAAGAGCTACAGGAGATGGCCACCTTGCTGTGCCCTCTCTGCAGTACCCTAAGAGTCTGGGATTTGCAGGAAATCTAAGGGCACAGACAGAAATGTCAATTTTTGCCTGATCTGGCCCCTGAAAGCATTCTACAGACATGACCAAGCAGAAGTGCACAGTTGCAAAGCCCTTTAAAAGCACCCGATACTACAAAAATATGAACTCTCATTGCATGAGGGTTCAGATGAAGGCATTTCAAAACAGCATCTTCAGTAACTTCTGTCTGGGCTACCTCCCAGCCTGCTGCTGTTTTCAGATCAGGAGTGGGGAAAGGGAGCAAGGGAGTTTGTTCTGGGTTTTTTTATGCCTCTGCTAGAGGGTGGGATGAGTGGAATGGAACCCCCCTGAGATGGGAGGAGTGCCAATCCACCCACCCCACCCTCCAGCCCCAGCTGGGGAACCCCTAGAATGAGCTCCCTCTGCTCCCTTTCCCTTCACCTCCATTCTGAAAACAGTGCAGGCTGGGAGGGAAGAGGGGCCTTTGCTAGGAGAAACTGACTGCAGGCTGGCAGTCAGTTCCCCTCCCCCTGGAACCAACAGTGAACTTCTGTTTGGTCCAGGTGATTATCACAACTCAGAGGGCTTCCTCAGCTACAGCATTCTCAATTACAGCATTCTCAGTTACAGCAAGGAGCTGCACTTCTGTCTGCACCCTAAGCTCCTACATGCACTCTCCTTTGGTACAAGAGGCAGGGCACTTCGGCCATCGGTTTACCTTTTCTTCCCAAAACCTTCATGTTTTCTTTCTTCCCTCCCTTTATTCATGGAACACAAACAGAATGTGGACTATCACAAAATAAATGTATTGTTTCAGCTACATACTAGGTCTGTTTACTTTTTCTGCTATAAACAGACTTTTATTTAGACTTCGTAGACCTTTCTTAAAAATGTGTTAAAAAAAAAATAGAACAGATAGATGTAGATATACATATGTATGAATACAAGTGTGCATAAGTGTATCTTTGGTCTTATTTTAAGATGTTACTTTGGTCTTATTTGAAGATGTCTCTAATTAGTTTCCTTTCTGGGACAAAAGCTTCCTCCCCACATTAATGGAAACAGTGCACTAAGAATAACTGTATTTTTGCAGGCCACTTACAAGCCACTACTGAAGCAGGTAGTGGAGGAGATATTTAATTCCGATCGACCTGATCCTGTTGATATTGAACACATGTCGGCAGGCCTCACCGATCTCCTAAAGACTGGATTCAGCATGTTCATGAAGGTAAAGTCACCATTCCAAGTTCAAATATAAAGGCTTTTCCTGCCCACAGTTTAACAATCAATGCTACATACATTTGTCTATCACTGACACAAACATCTTTACAAGAACAACCTAGGCAGACAAGATTCTTTGGGTAGATGTGATATCTTTTATTAAACCAACTAAATAGTTGGAAAAAAGTTATTTGCAAGCTTTCGGGTGCAAACATCCTTCTTCAGGCAATGAGAGACTCTGCCTGTGTCCTTAGACAGACAGCGGGAGACTCTTGCCTGTCTGTGTCTTTAAACCAACACAGCTACAACCAACAACCCAAGAAGAACCTAGTTGCCCAGAATTTCTGCCTTTCCAATAAATGTACAAAACTGATGCTCAGGAAAATGAAGGGTTAATTATTTTAATAAATATGTATCTATATGTGTTTGTATGTTTATGTAATACAGCTCTATGTGTTTCGTAATTTGAACTTTTAAAAATTCAAATTCATCTACATGTTGCAAAGGTAATTTCTAGAGTACCAAGAGAATGCTGGGTGATCATGAGTGTAAAAGCATCCTAACATTAACCAAACTAGGACATCTGCATGAAAAATGTCTTTTAAATCCTTATAATTCAGTCAAATCAAAATAGCTTTCCATGAAGGCACACTGTAACCTTGTGGCAGATCACCTTTGGTGCCTGCCACTCTAAGGGCTTAGAGCAGGCAACAGGGCAGCTGGCAGGTGCAGGCCAGCTCTGATGAGGCACTCAAATGACCACAGGAGGGCCATGTGATTGGAGGAGAAGGCTGAGCAGCCTCCATTTTAACTCAGGCCCTCAGGGCTGAGCCAGCAGTCTGCTGTTTGCAGCTGGAAGAACACCACCCAGCTGAGCAGCTACTCAGAACATCCTTAGAGGTAAGGGCAGGAACTATGGGGATGGTAGGAGGCTCCTGGTCCTGGGGCATAACTGAAAACTACATGTTGCTGGGGTAGGATAGCATGGTAGGTCCACCCAAGGTGGGGTGGTCCCTAGGAAGTGCCATGCCAGTTGCCTCCCCAGTGAAACCTTATAGCCCCAGCCCCCACAACTTAGTGGGTAGTAGGGAAGCAGTGGAGTCAGGCATATCTTTGGACACCTGAGCCTGTGGGCTGTAAGACCCCGAGGCCAGTCAGGCAAGGAGGGGGCAAGGAGTTGGCCCCAGTGAGAGGGTAGAGTGTTGGCCCCTGTGAGGGGAGCGTAGTGAGAAAATGGGCCACATAGAGTAAGGCCTCAAGGGCAGCCTGAAGGGCTGTGCAGTATTGGTGCAGAGTAGGGTTGCAGGGGGTAACCTAAAGGGCTGCACTGGGGGCACGCAGAGTAGGGCTGCAAGGGCAACCTGAAGTTCTGTGTATAGGCCAGCCCCACAAACAGTACAAGGAGTTAGCCCCAGGGAGGGGTTGCGAGTTGGTGCCCCAGTGAGAGGGCAGAGGAGTAACCCCAGCGAAGGGGTGGGAGTGAGTGAGCCCCAGTAAGGAAGCATGAGTTTGGAGCCTAGTATGAGGGCACAGAGACTGCAAGCTCCAGTGGAGAGTGAGAGTCATATGTGAGACTTTGGAGCATGGGTCGTAGTGTGAGGCAATGTGCCATCTGTGAGGTATGGGACACGGTGTAGGAGAAGTAGGAGCCGTGTGTCATTCCCTAGGCATTGGGGCATGTAATGAGCAGCCTCCCATACTTTACAACAATTAATGTAACAGCAAGACATGGCAGAAAAATGAGGGCAGACTGCCCTAGACATATGGTAGCCCAACGTTCGACTGGCCTCGTAACAGAACTGAGGTGGTGCCAGAGTGGATATCCCAGTTGCATTAGTCACCATCTCACAACATATTGTATCTTCCTGACAGAGAGGGAGACTTTGTATTTGGCTCTCTCTTTTCTTGTGTTTTCTCTGCCTACCAAAATTGCCAAGGACAGGTACCCTGGTAATTTCTCATGACTTTTAGAATGGACAGAACTTCTCCATCACAGAATTTTTGAGCTGGGAGTGAATTTAAGATCTGCAGAATATTTGTGGGGCAGTGAAATTTTGCTTATATGAGATTCTGAGTACTTGAAAATCACCTGAAACAGATGAGTGAAAAATTGTTTGCACTATTGTGGAGGAAAAGAAACTTCTACAATTTAACCAGGACTAGTTTATAGACACAAAAGAGTGTATACAGTTAATTTCAGCTCTTCGGTATCACAGAACTGAGTCATATTTAGCTACATGGAGCCAGTCTCTTCAAAAGCAAGAGCCTTGGGTGGTTGCATTATCAAACAGAAAAATCTTGGCAGAAACCTACATTCCAAGTATTTTGTACCCAAAGCATTGTCCTCCTCCAAAACACTTGTACATAACATAACAAAATTACAGGTTCTCAAATGCTTTTCATTGGAACTTTAATTTAATTTGGAGCTTTCATGCCTAGTAGTATTTTTAATATGCATTTCTGGAATTTGTGGTTTGAACTTCAGTCTTCTGAAAAGTAATAAGTTTTATATATGCACCATGTGTTTGGAGACAGGCTTATTTTGGCTAAAGGAAATGATTTTTCAAGACATTCTCTCCTTCAGTATAACCTTGAAAACATATGTTCTCTAATTAACATTTTTTACATAATGTTAAATAATCTTACAATGCTTCTAATTTTATATGTACATATTTACAGTGAGATTACTCATTTGATAAAGTTAAGAAAGAGAGATGTTTTTCAAAGGTAAGTATCTAAAGTTTAAATTCTTCAAGTCTGTATGTCTTTGATCACTTCCAGCACCAAAATAGAACAGAATGATTTAGGTTACTGTGGAAACTAGCTTAACAGTAGTTATTCATATCTCATCTTATTACTGATAGCTTGAATCCATTGGTTCCTGTTTTACATAGGAGTACCCTAGCACAAATGCATTATGACCAGTATTACAGGGGTGTAGGTTGTAGCCATGTTGGTCTAAGGACATACGCAGATATATTCACATTTACCATATTTGTGAGCAGTTTTCTCTTTAGCTTGTGTCATCTGTATGCTATAAGTGTTACATGTAACACTGTAGTACTTAGTAACTGGGCTAATTATAATCTTCTCTGACCTACTTTTTACATAAATATTTAGATTTTACTGGAGCTCATCACAGCATTTTTTATGAAAATTAATTTTGTTTTTTTGCTGTAGTTAATATGTTTAAATAAAACATATCGTAGTGACTGCTTTTTAATGGGAAATTATGTAAACCAAAAGCATGTGTAAAGGAAAAAAGGGAGTAATGTATTGATTCAAATGGTATATGGATTTGTTGTTTTAATTGGAAAGAAACTGTAAGCAGTGTTTAATTTGGGGGAATGCATGAGTTTGTCATAATCGTATTTCTACTCCCAGGTGGCAGATGGATGAATGAAGGATAGTTAGGAGAGCATATGTCATATACAAAATACTGAATTTAAGTACTCATTGTATGCAGATTAGCTGCCCTGATCTAGAGGTGCACCTATACATCAGTCTGATATCGGATTGCCACTGATATAAAGAAAATTGACTGTATCAGAAATTGGCCTGATGTGGCCAATAATTGGGCTGATAAATGCCTGTGTATGCATGCAGCCACAGCGCAGCATGTAGGCAGCTCGGAGCACAGCCCAGCAGCTTGGAGAGCTGCGTGCAGCTGGTAAGTCTGTTGTGGTGGAAGGGGAGTGAGGAGGGAAGGGGTGTAAGGGGACAGATCAAGGCCCCCGCGGTGAGGAAGGCAGTGGGGCTCAGGCAAGGGCAGGTGCTGCTTGGGGAGAGGGGCGGCTCCTGCAGCTGCACACACCCCAGGAGGCATGGGTGGGTGGGTGCCCCAGATCTGCATGGGCCGTGGCAGGGTGGACTGCAGCTGCAGGCTAGGGCT